TTTTAAGCTCAAAAATAGTTTCAATAAAAACTATTTTTTAATTATATTGCATTTTAGTAGTGAATAATTTTAGACTGAAAAGAAGAATAGAGTATGGTACACATGTTTCTTATATTTGCTACTGTAACAGATTTAGTTTATTTTTATTTTTTGTCTTATGCAAAATTTTAATTAAACTTTACTTTAGTTCGGAGATGTATAATTTTAATAAATATATCATTAATTTTTATAATTTGACAAAAAGATAATATTTTATCCCTTATTAATTTGCGATTATCACATTAAATTAATTCATTTTTAACTGTCGATCGAAGAAAAGTCATTTAACATTCATATAATAAATAATTTGATTATTATAATGACTATTTCGCGTCGGGCCAATATATACATAATACTTTGCAAGAGACTTTCATAGCCTCCCTTGGTCGAGCGCGTCTAGGCGCAGCTCTCAAGGTTGATGGCTCCATACAAGATAGACAACACTAATATATACGACTAAGGGTTCAAATCGTGGCGTCGCATTTCCGTAATAATGATAATAAAATGCTAATAAAACTTTTTTTTAGTTAATTTACTTTTATTATAACATATCAGAAAACAATATAAACAGTTTTGATTTTTTATGTAAATATTCAAATGGTAGAATTTCCGAATTAATATTAGGGAATATTTCCGAAATACATGGTATACTGTAAATTTACAGCACTTTAGTAAAGTGAAATTACATTATTATTTTGATGGATAATTGTTTCTTGTACTTTTGCTATAAAATCACAACAGAATTTTCTAACAGTGCAGTTTAAAGAAAAACTGAAAAATTAGTTTTTTTAATATTGAATTGACGAATTGAATGCAAAAAAGTTTGCTTTAAAAAAGTTGTTATTATTGAAAATTAGATAAAGAATAAAACTATTTCTAAATAGACATAAAATTTTTCAGCGAAATTTAATATATATTTAATGACATTAAAAAGAAAGCAATATTTTTAACCCATATTATAAACCTATTCATAATAATATTCATTTCTTTTGTTTTTTGACTGAATCGCATTGTAAGTAAAAATTTAGACTATTTTTTATTCTTAGTTTTATTAAAAACGAGTTTAAAAAACAATTTATAAGAAAATCTGGTTACAGAACTGTGTAAATGAAGTTACCTGATTTTGTTATAAAAAAATCTCAATTTCGAAAAATTGTTGCTTGACCCCTTTTGTCATGCCACCCTTCATTTATAGATATTTAGAATGACGTTCAATTGTTAAATCCTGTACGGTATTAAATTTAAATAAATTATATGTAAAATTCTGTATACTTTTCAAGTACAATAAATTATTTATTGACAATGAAACGGTGTTATTTTATAAACAAAAACAAATTTTTAGTTTCTTTAAAATTTTGTTTTATACTTGTTGATTATGATTAATATTAAATTATCACTTATACATTAATATTGAAGGTGTTATTTGCTTCATCATTTACTTGTAGTGAAAAAAATGTTGATATCATAAACCGGGAAAAACCGTGAAATAACCGGGAATTCAAAAACTGAAAAATAGTAGACACCCTGTTATTTACACACTATCTTTTCTATAATTTTTAAAATCTCCAAGTTTCATATCTGCTTTTGTTCATTAGTAAATTAAAAAATCACTTTCTTTTTTCGTCTATTATGTTATCAAGAATGCGTTTATCTTACCAGTATCTTTACGAAATAATATGTAAAATTTTATGAAGCATTTATATCTCGATGTCAAACTTTAATGACTGTTACTTTTCACTTCTCTTTGGGAACATTTTAATTTTTATTTGAAACTGTCGAAATATTCACGGCCAGTCACGATTTACCGTTTCGGCTTCCTTAAATGAAACCCTGTGAATCTTTCTTCCGCATCTTTATCTCGCGAGAGATGAGTGAAGCCCAAAAGGATGGACGATATATTAAGTGGGGATCAGAGAAGTGCGCGGGCGTGGGAATATTATCGCTTGAGGGACCCAGAAGTCGATATACACCTTGAGCCTTTAAAATGCCCTCAGGGCGAGTCACTGGCCCAAAGAATCGACGGAGAGGCCCTTTAAAATGCGAAGTGATCAAAATAGTCGAACTTGAAAACGAAATAATAAAACTTCTTACCGAATTATTATTTTACTTACTTCTTCCATAACTTGAGTAATTTAATATTAATTTAAGTAAAGTATAACATTTAATTCTTCACAAGAAAAAAAATTATAGTTTTTACCTTCACTGAGATAAAAATGCTATTGAATCAATGACATATTTGTTTGTCGCAATAAACGGCATATTCAATATCGTTCAAATACAAATACTGTTGTTTCAATAACATGTGCTACTGATTATTGCACTGTAGATTTAAATACATATTATATAATACTATTACAGAAGCTATAGTGTTAATAGAAAATGCTATACTATCAAGAAATGCACTTCTTAGGTATAATTAAATCTGTTATAAATTCAATAGCATGTACTAGTGATTTTATATCTATTTTATTTTGAATCAATAGTACATGCTATCAATTTTAAAGAACATTAACAAGAATTTATAACATGATGCTATAGTTTCGATTTTTTTTAAGTTTATAAGACAAACTGTAAATACTATTTATTAATTTATCAAAATTTTATTTAAAATAATGGCAACAATTATTTCAAACTAATTAATATTTTTTTATTAAAATTGTATCAACTTTACATCTCAACCATTTTACATATATTTCTTTAGACAACATTATGCTTCTAGTTCTAAATTATGAATTATTATATTTTAACATATATTTTTAGGGTTCCGTACAACGTAGGTGTACCGACGGAACGATTTGGCTACGGACGCAAGAGTCTCACCAATAGGTGAGACTCTTGCGTCCGTAGCCAAATCGTGTCCCCCCCTAGCGGCTAAACTATTTGACCTAAATAGCTCAAATTTGTCCAAATATGTATTTTCACTCGTAGATTACAGGAAAAATATAGCGAATGTGATTGGAGGTGATGGTCATAGCGTTGTCAAGGAAATAACAAGATTTTTGGCCAAAAATGCACAAAAAGTGACCATTCCCCCCATTAACTTCTAAACTATTCGACATGGCGAGCTGAAATTTTGCATGCTAGTGTATTTTTACTCGAATATTACAGGAAAAATATAGAGAACTTGATATGTAATAATGTCCATACCCAATGGGAAATGCCAGTGTAGTGCCGATATTCACCACTGGCTTAGTACTCAGACGATTGTTCGGCAGTAGTCTAGCCGAGCCTCGACAATTAGTGCTGTCGCAGTACAGAATTTTTGTTTCGCCAAAGCTTGGACAAGCCACGGCGGCAAGTGCTGGCTGAGTATAAAAAAATTGTTCACAACGCTCTTTGCCAACATTGCTTTTTTGACATAAACTTGAAAAAAATTATAAAAAAAGTTTATGAATGTTTATAAATATAAATTTATTAAAAAAATTAATATTTTACTTTTCAGTTGTTTATTTTTATAAAAATTTAATAATAATAATTTAACATAATTGTCTAATTTTGTAAATAATAAATTATTTAAACAAATTAAAATTATGAACAAAATTTAAACTTTAATCTCAATAATAATTTGGTTCCTATAAAAATACTATTATACTTTGATAATCGATAAATTAACCAACGATAAATTTTCAATTATTCGCGAAAGCTAGTTTTTATTTTTCTGTCGCTGAGCAAAAGCGAAGATTCCGAATTGCGGGAATGCGGCATCAGCCGGTCGCACTAGGCCGCGTCAGCCAATCAGAGCGTCGATCGCTCCCACTGCGCGAGTCTCCCCACTCAACCGCGCCACAGAGCTCGGAGACAGAGCTCTCGTCGTCACTTCTTCCCGAGCTGCCTGCCTGCACGGTCGCCTCGCTCCCAATTCGCGCAACAGCCTTTTTTTGTGTTTTCCCACTAAAATAAAAACGACGTTCAATATTTAATTTCCTATAACTCACCGAGTTTTATTTCAACGCGATTTTTTCCCTAAATAGTTTCTTTTAAATTCCCAACAATTTTGGAAACTTTTGCGAGGGTCCAAAATTGTTCCCTTTTTTTTCGCGCTAAGAATTTTTAGAAACTTTTTTTGAGGGTCTAAGATTCTTATTTCGCGAATTCCCAAACGAGCAATCTTCGGAAACTTGCGGAGGGTCCGAGGTTGTGTTTTTCCTTTAATACGGTTACGTGGAAACTCACCGAGGGTCCTGAAACCGTTATTTCTTTATTCCCATTTTAAATTAAATTTTCTTGTGTTTTTACAAGCAATTTATGGAAACTTTCTGAGGGTCCATTAATCGCTTTTTTACTTAAATTGTTCACTCGTTCTAATTTTTGGAAACTCGCGCAGGGTCCAAAAATTATTCCTCTTTTTTTTTATTCCCAGTAATTTATATTTATTTATTTTTTTTGTTTTTTTTTGTATTGCACATAAATCGATTCCCCGAATTATAGAGAAATCTTCGGAAACTCCAGGAGGGTCCGAGGTTTCATTCTCTCTTAAATAAATTCTCCCTTCTTACCGAGTTTTCGGAAACTTGTTTTCGACAAGGGTCCAAAACTCTCAGATATTGTTCAAGCCCAAAATTGACGGTATCAATTTTGGCGCCCAACGTGGGGCACCGCAGAAAAGATTTTCTGGAGAAAATCACGAACCCGATAAAATCCACGCCACACATTCTCACTTCCGGGAGTGAGACGAATTTCAATTCGACAAAAACACCCGGTGGCGCTCAACGGACCATCTTTCTTTCACAAATGAAAGAAAAAACCGCATTATATCCAGCAAGTGACAATATAGCACGCGCAATAAACCGCGAAGTGAATTATTCAACGTGTAAAAACATCGTTGAGTCAGTTGAATCACCACATTCTGCTCAAGTGATTAAGCTAAAAAAAGATCGCAAAAATCTTAGATTTTGCGTTGATTTCCGTGAAATCAACTCGAATTACAAGAGCGAATAGCTTCATTTTTCGATTATCGGTGCATGGATCCGCAAAAATACAATCTACCAACTGACGAAACCGGTTTTACCAATGTGTATACAGACGGCGCGTGTCTAGGAAACGGAAGATCATCACCGAAGGCCGGAATAGGGGTATTCTTCGAAACCAACCATCCTCTGAATATCTCAGCACCTGTCGACGGAAAACAGACGAACAACGCCGCAGAGCTTCAAGCAGCCACGAGTGCCGTCTTACAAGCGCAAAAAGCCGGAGTCACAAAACTGCGAATCAACACCGATTCTCAATACGTGATCAGAAGTTGCACAGAGTGGATACCTCGTTGGAAATCAAACGGATGGACAAAAACGTCAGGAAAGCCAGTCGAAAATAAAGAACAATTGCAAGATTTAGATCGCGCAATTTCGTCACTAGAAGTAGATTGGAAGCACGTTCCTGGACACCGTGGACACCCTGGAATTTCGCAAGCCGACGAATTAGCGAAAAAAGGAGCCAAGCGGTAAAACTCTAAATGACAGCTAGAACTCCTCGTGAAAAAAATTTACGCTCTCGTACGGTGTTAATTCATACTCCACCCGGCACGCGTAGAGATTTTCAACAATTATCAACAGAATTATTCTCGCCCAATACAAATCAAACGCACTCTCGTAAAATGGCCGATGAAACAACGACTCACGACCTTCGAGATAAAGATGGATTAAGCTCAGGATCGTCTTCAACTGAAGATTTAAATCATATTCCATCATCCTCGGTCAGTGTTTCTACAAATAATAACACAGCGAATTCAATCGTGAGTACTGCGCAAATTTCATCGCCAATGACTACGTCATTCATCGGTGGAGTATCGACGCAAGCTCCACACAACCAAATTCCAATTCCGACAAGTTATTATGCTCCTGGACCATCTGGAGTAATGACTACCAGAATAGCGCAAACGTCGGAATCGACAAGAACTTTTTTTTCGGGCCTGCCGAATCTTCATAATCCACCAGTGAGACCCGTTCATTTTGCGGACCCTGGTGCGATTCCCAGATTTCCAAATTTATCTGACGATACTCGACAAAGAAACACCAGGCCGATAATTCAAGAACCGATCTTTTTCCAGAATGCGGGCGGTGGATCTCAGAATCAACATTTACGAAATTCAGTTCCAGTAATCGGTGAGATTCCGGGAAGGAACGTTAACGGTACAGAACTTCCTCCAAGAATTGAACAATCACAAAATGTTCATTACCCACCAGTACCAGATCCAAATTGGTATGCGTGGCGTGCATTCATGGAGGCACAACGCAATCCTGTACCCATACCAGAATTTTTTGGAAAGGAGCACGAAGATCCGATGAACTTCCTAACTGAAATGAACAACTATTTTCATTTTCTAGGAACTCCTGAAACAAACAAAGTTCGCATAGCAGGTCAAGCACTTCGAGGCGATGCTGAAAAATGGTGGGAGATGTACAAAGGAGTCCCTTTTGAATGGAACCAGTTTTATGATCTTTTACTGCGCCAATACAATTCTCCTGCGATACTCGGAAAATTACAAGCTCAGTTATTTTCCCTACGTCAAGGGGAAAAAGAGCCCGTTGGAGTATTTCTTCAGAAAAAATACTTACTTTTCCGGAGATTAAGACCCGAGGAAACGGAAATAGTCAAGGTACATACGTTGATGGAACTCTTGAAGCCAGCGATCCGACACGCAATACGCGCTTCAAATCCTTTGGACTGTGCCACGCTGCTAACTCGAGCCGTTGAATCGGAAAAGGACGAATTGGATTTGATTCGAAGTCAACCGCGCAAAGAAGAAAAGAAAATAGTCGAAAATTCAGCACTTACCAAAAAGTCACCTCCGAACTGCTGGTACTGTCCTGAAAAGCATTTTCATCGGGATTGCGCGGTTTACAAAAAACAGTTTGAAGACCGTAAAAACGCAGGTCAGGAAAACTGGCGACGGGCGGTGGACCCACCAACCACCGCGAACGACAACCGGCCCAAACATTAACATCGCTTTATTTGACTCTTCAAAATCATAGAAAATTACCGCGCGTATTGACCTTTACCAACGATCAAGAAATAGTGGCGATCATCGACACAGCAGCAACCGAAAACTTCATTCATTCCTCAAAATTAAATTCAGCGCAACTCGCGTCTCTCGCCCCGAGTTTCGACAAGGTAAACTTGGCAGCGCCCGGAACGTGTATGAAAATCTTGGGACGAATCACGCTCTTTGTTCGAATCAATACACAAGAGATGAATGTTGAATTTTTCGTCTGCGAACAGCTGAGAGAAGAAATGATCTTGGGTCTACCCTGGATGGAAGATCAACAAACAATAATCGACATTCCAGGAAAAAGAATCTACGCGGGTAAAGAAGATCGATTCACAATATTTTTCCACCAACAATCGAAACCACGAGCCTTGATCAACGTCGAAAATGAAATCGCCATGGAAAATCTCATTCACGATTTCCCATCAGAACACGAAGACGAATTTCTCGACATCATTCAACGTTACGCTACCACAGTTGCGCCCGGTCCGAGTCTAACGCAAACTCGATCAACACGTCACAAAATCGAATTAACCGATAACCGACCTTTTCAGTTAAGGCCGTATCCATCGTCAGCTGAAAAGCGAAAAGAAATGCTTGAGCAAGTTCAAGAGATGCTTTCCAACGGAGTCATCGAACCGAGTACGTCACCTTATTGCTCCCCCGTGGTCTTGACGAAGAAAAAGAACGGAAAATTTCGTTTCTGCGTGGATTTTCGTCGCCTAAATTCGATCACACAAGACGTAAATCACACTTTGCCCAGGATCACCGACTCTCTAAAAGAACTCGGAAACGCGAAAATATTATCCGTGTTAGATTTGCGCTGGGGATACTGGCAAGTACCGATGGATGAGAATTGTAAACAATTCACCGCATTCTCGATCCCAAACGGCGGGACTTACCAATTTCGCGTTATGCCTTTTGGCTTAAAAGGCGCTCCGAACACGTTCCAAACATTGATTAGTCAAACCGTGTTACGAGGATACGTAAATCGCTTCTGTATGGCCTTTTTGGACGATATAATCGTTTATTCACAAAATTGGACCGATCACATGCGTCATTTAAATCTCGTGTTAGAACGATTAGAGATTCACGGTCTAACTTGTTCAATCGACAAATGTTTTTTCGGCCAGAAAGAACTAAAATATTTGGGCCATCAAGTTTCAGGCGCAAATAACGAGCCCCAAGAACACCACGTTCAGGCTATTATCCAAGCCGCTCGTCCAACCAGCAAAAAAGAGCTACAAAAATTCCTCGGCATCTGTGGTTAGATACGCGAATACGTCCCCGATTTTTCCATGTTATCCGCTCCGCTCACGGATCTACTAGGAAAGAAGGCAGGAAAATGGAAATGGACGGAAGAAACCGAAAACGCGTTCAACAAAATCAGAGATGCCTTCCAAGCGGATCTCAGTCTCGGACGTCCAAACCCCGACTTGCCTTTTCACCTTCAAACCACAGTAAGTTCCGAAGGAATGGCGGCAGTGCTTTTTCAATTCGAAGAAAGTTCTCGCAACGTGATCAGTTACGCCAGCGCTAAGTTTAGCTCTACCGTAAAGCGCTATTCTGGACTGGAGCAAGAATGTCACGCGGTAGAATATGCCCTCAAACATTTTCGCCCACAGTTGGAAGCAACTCCTTTTCATCTGCACACGGACGAAAAAGCGTTAAAGTGGCTTCAAAATTCGAAACAAAACACGCTGAAATTGGGTCGTTGGGCCCGATTTTTGGACCAATTCCAATTTACGGTTCATTCTCGAACCAATGCCGGTCACGAATTAGCTACCGCGCTCGCGCAGAATCCGAGTGATTCACCGAATGAAACTGAGGAAGATAACTTTCTTCTTCCACCTGAGATCGCTCCTCAATTTGATGCACCTTTTCTCGCGCAAATCACGCATTCCAACTTTTTCGAAGAGGTCATCGCTTCTCAACAAGAGGACGAAAACATAATCAGCCAGGTACGACGCTGGAAGAACCTGAAAAACAAGAAAAATCGAAACAAGGTCGAAGAGAAATTTTTCCGCGAACACATCCTATCGGACGAAGGATTTTTTCGCCGCAAGAATCCCCATGATTCATGGCTACTCGTGGTACCAGAAGTCTGTCAGCAGAGACTTCTGCACGAGTATCACGACGCTAGCCTAGCCGGACATCCAGGCGAAGAAGAGACGTTGCGCGCCGTCCAAGAACTCTTCACGTGGCCCAAAATGGTTTCACAAATAAAAGACTACGTCAAAAGTTGCACCCTTTGCTCCTGCTGTAAGTCTTTTAGGTCGCAGAGCAACAACGAGGTACGCCCACGCCAACCAAAGGCCCCGTGGGATACGGTTGCTGTCGATTTAATGGGACCATACCCACGTTCATCGCACGGAAAACGATTTCTCCTCGTAGTTACCGATCTTTTTTCACGGTGGGTGGAAGCTTTCCCCCTTGGATCTTCCAAAGCCCCGCGTATCACCTACTTGCTTGAAAAAGAGGTGTTCAATCGATTCGGTTACCCCAGAGCCATCATTACCGATAATGGCCCTCAATTTATCGGTAATATCTGGGAAAAAGCATGCGCGAAGTGGAACTGCGAAAGTTGGCACACTCCTCCTTATCACCCGCAGGCGAATCCGACCGAACGGAGGAACCAGGAAGTGAAAAAAGGAATGCGCTTACGACTCGTTGATACTTCTGATCGAAAATGGGACTCTGACATCGCTGACATTTTATTCAATGTCAGAAATCGACGAAATGCGGCAACCGGACGGACGCCGAGTCAGGTCCTATTCGGAACGACTGCCAAGAGACCCGGAGAATAAGTCTTACAGATCGGAAGAAAGGCTGTAAAAAACTTGGAAGAACGTGTTCAGGAAGTCACTAAACATCAAGCCACATATCAAGAGAAATACGCCGTGCCACCTAAATCAAATAAGAAAATTCCTGTCGGCAGTTTTGTTTATGTACGAACGCACCGCTTGTCGAACAAGGAAAAAAGTTTTCACGCTGGTTTAGCTCCCCGTGGAGAAGGTCCATACGTAATAAAACGCCATTGTGGAGGCGAAATCTACGAAGTCGATTTGAAAAATCGACTGGCGAAAATTCATAGTAAGGATCTCAAACGCGCGTTTCCTCGAGAAAGAGCGGAGAAACTTCAAAATCCGGAATTAATCGAGCCAGAAGTACAGCCGGAAAAAACTCGTGAATTACCGAGAGAAACTCATAAACATAGACACGGTTACAATTTGCGCTCTACGAAAAGAAATGAATCCGAAACGAACGATTTAAATTTCCACGCCTCGGAGTACTGAAAAACGTGCGAGAAACATCGAAAAGAGTGCAAACGGCCCCTGTAAATAGGCACTACAATCTACGTCCGCGATAGATACAGGCGAGTAGCGAATTTCTCTTCCCACCTCCTTACTACTGCAGTTTGACGCAGTGGGCGGAGCCTTGGGCGCAGTGAACTCCAGG